CCTATTTTATCAATAAGCAACCAGAAAACCAAAAATTCTACAGAATGTACTGGTATATACAAAGAGAATGGCATACATCTGAACTTGAGGGTATCAAAGAGTTAATTTCCTACCTCCCAACACAAGAACACAATAAAGCTTATAAAGTTATTGTAAAGGGGAAAGAATACAATGAAAAACCTTATCCGTAGATACAAATAGGCTGTCAGCTTGGTTTAAGGAATCAGAAATGACAGCTATGTTTCTTTTGTTTATTTTCTCAACTTACTGATGGTTGGTATGCTGAAAAGCTTTTAAATCTCTGCAGAACCCATGCACGACAGTAAGGGCTTGGCTCTCGGCAGCCTCTGTCTCTGAGTCACATTGGCTGCAGAGACCTCACATCTTGGTTGCATATATGTTATGTTGTCACCACTTAAAGCATATGTAAAATAAATACACTCTAAATATAAGTAAAATAAAATAAAATGGAAACAGATTATTGTAATGATGGTAATATATTTGGAGTAATAGCAAGATGCTATGTTTTGATTGGACAGAATTGAGCTTAATATGATCTTACCCTTTTAAAGTTAATTTCTATTTTCCTTTTCATTCCTTCAAGAAGAAAAGGGCTAAAATAGTGGTCAGGATTCTACTAGCACTTAGCTTTTGACAGTGGACTGTTTGATATTAAATAACATGGTTCAACTGTGGCTGTCAATTAAAATAGGGAGATTGGTGTACCACAGGCACTCACACTAGGCACCACAGGCCACAGAAAAGCACTTAGTAGCTGTGTGTAATCAAATTTGTGAAAACTGACCCAGAAGAGCACTTTACTGTTTATAGGAGTGCTGTAATAAATCTTTTGAAAACTAGTGAATCTATTTGTAATGTGAAATCTCTCTTAATTTGTGTTTTTAAGTTTGAATTTCTGTGTACATGTGGCCAGCTTAAAGCAAAACATTTCCGCAAAGACTGTGGAAGCCCAGGTTAATCTAAGGTAATCAAACAGTAATCATTCATTCATGCGTTCACTGAACACTCTGAAATGATGCCATGTACTAAGCCAAGTCAGAGGGACGGCCATAATTAAGTATAAATGTCCTTAAGGTGCTCACCTGAGCTTGGGGAGGAGAATTCTAATGGGTTAAATATTCTTTTCTTGGAAAGTCAAAAATGAAGTACCTTTCTTCTGCAAGACAAGCTATTAAAAGATTTCTTGAAGGCATACCATAAAAAGATCTTTTGAAAATCTTCTCCCATGAAACTCACAACATAATAATGTGATAAACTTGTATTGTCACAAAATGTCAAATGTTAAAATGAGGAGAATTTGTCTAGTTTTGGGTTGCTGAGTGCCCTGGAGCCCTAAACTGTACCTAGAACTTGGGACAGGGAGATAAACATATAAATAATTAGCTTATGTACATGTTGATAGGTGCCATCATAAAACATGTTCAAGATGCCGAGAGAGTAGTGGGAGAGAGTGATCAGTTATGGCTGGAGAATGTGGAGTGGGCAGTGAGGAGGGGGAGATAAACTTTCAGAGAGAAGTTGATACTTGTGCTAAGTGTAAACAAGATACCAGACCAGTATGGTAGGTTTTGCTCAGGGTCCACCATCACCCACCCTCAGTGTATACCAGTAGTGCCTCCTTATCCATGGGGGATACATTCCAAGGCCCCCAATGGATGCCAAAACCCTCTATATGCTATGTTTTTTCCTATACATATAAATCAATATATAGCTTAATTTATAAATTAGGCACAGTAAGAGGTTTATAACAGTAATTAATAATAAAATAGAACTATAGCAATATACTCTAATAAAAATTGTGCAAATGTGGTTTCTTTCTCTCAAATATCTTATTATACTGTACTCACTCTTCTTGTGTTGTGAGATGATAAGATGCCTACCAGTGAGATGAAGTGAGGTGAATGAAGAATGATGTAGGCATTGGGGCATAGTATTAGGCTACTACTGACCTTCTGACAATATGTCAGAAGGAGAATCATCTGCATCTGGACCATGGTTGACTGGAAACCAAGGTACTGAACCTCAGAAAGTGAAACCACAGATGATGGTGACTCTGGAAGGTCCTTAGCAGGGGCTTTTCTAGGAATTGAGCCGATTGTTAAGTCAGAAAAGGAAAGAAGATGGTGAAGAAATGTGCCTTTGTGGCCACTGGCTGGCTTATATCTGTTCTAGATTTGTTTGCTTCTGTTAGATTTATTGTCAACTTCTTTAAGGCTCTGATAAGCTAATCAAGAAATATATTAGAGTAAGTTCAGATGATGGGATTTCATCTTCCCGAGTTGGTCTGCCTGCACTTATCCTACGGAAGGGTCCTGTGTCAGCCACCTGAGCTGTAATTTTCTCACCCTAAAGATACTATGGTGAAAAGAGATGAATATAAATAGAAGGCATTGCTTTAAGTCCTATACTTCATTGGTTTGATGAAGTTTGAGGAAATCAGGAATTAACTCAAGTAAGATGAGAACCATACTTTCACATTTATAAAGTGTAAAGCTTTTTAATGGTCTTGAAGAGAAAAGATTCCATTTGGATACAAAACCATCATTATCACTAGTACATACTGAAATATCTTTCCAACATTTTTCTGATTCAGGCTATTAAATTTTATATTAAAATATGATAAAAAGATAGTAATGAGACCTTGTAAACAGACAAAGCTTGAAAAACAGTATATTTGGGAAACACCACACAAATGACAAGGATATATTAGGGTACTTTTCCCAAATGATAAGGACAAAGTTAGGAGGTAATAATAGTAGTAGCAGTTGAAATTTAGTTGGGGGCTGAGCATCTGTTAGGCACTATTCCACCTGCTTTCAATGTGCTTATTATGTAATTCTTGCATAAATACTGTGATAAATACTGCTCTATTCCTATTTTATCAATAAGCAACCAGAAAACCAAAAATTCTACAGAATGTACTGGTATATACAAAGAGAATGGCATACATCTGAACTTGAGGGTATCAAAGAGTTAATTTCCTACCTCCCAACACAAGAACACAATAAAGCTTATAAAGTTATTGTAAAGGGGAAAGAATACAATGAAAAACCTTATCCGTAGATACAAATAGGCTGTCAGCTTGGTTTAAGGAATCAGAAATGACAGCTATGTTTCTTTTGTTTATTTTCTCAACTTACTGATGGTTGGTATGCTGAAAAGCTTTTAAATCTCTGCAGAACCCATGCACGACAGTAAGGGCTTGGCTCTCGGCAGCCTCTGTCTCTGAGTCACATTGGCTGCAGAGACCTCACATCTTGGTTGCATATATGTTATGTTGTCACCACTTAAAGCATATGTAAAATAAATACACTCTAAATATAAGTAAAATAAAATAAAATGGAAACAGATTATTGTAATGATGGTAATATATTTGGAGTAATAGCAAGATGCTATGTTTTGATTGGACAGAATTGAGCTTAATATGATCTTACCCTTTTAAAGTTAATTTCTATTTTCCTTTTCATTCCTTCAAGAAGAAAAGGGCTAAAATAGTGGTCAGGATTCTACTAGCACTTAGCTTTTGACAGTGGACTGTTTGATATTAAATAACATGGTTCAACTGTGGCTGTCAATTAAAATAGGGAGATTGGTGTACCACAGGCACTCACACTAGGCACCACAGGCCACAGAAAAGCACTTAGTAGCTGTGTGTAATCAAATTTGTGAAAACTGACCCAGAAGAGCACTTTACTGTTTATAGGAGTGCTGTAATAAATCTTTTGAAAACTAGTGAATCTATTTGTAATGTGAAATCTCTCTTAATTTGTGTTTTTAAGTTTGAATTTCTGTGTACATGTGGCCAGCTTAAAGCAAAACATTTCTGCAAAGACTGTGGAAGCCCAGGTTAATCTAAGGTAATCAAACAGTAATCATTCATTCATGCGTTCACTGAACACTCTGAAATGATGCCATGTACTAAGCCAAGTCAGAGGGACGGCCATAATTAAGTATAAATGTCCTTAAGGTGCTCACCTGAGCTTGGGGAGGAGAATTCTAATGGGTTAAATATTCTTTTCTTGGAAAGTCAAAAATGAAGTACCTTTCTTCTGCAAGACAAGCTATTAAAAGATTTCTTGAAGGCATACCATAAATTGATCTTTTGAAAATCTTCTCCCATGAAACTCACAACATAATAATGTGATAAACTTGTATTGTCACAAAATGTCAAATGTTAAAATGAGGAGAATTTGTCTAGTTTTGGGTTGCTGAGTGCCCTGGAGCCCTAAACTGTACCTAGAACTTGGGCTTTTTAGCGTTACAGCCTGAAGGGACCTTAGATTTTTATGTCCACCTTGTCCCCTCCATGGTCCCATCCTATCTTCATTTAATGAGGAAAAAGTTCGTGCAACGAAAGGTTGAGAAAGCAGCTGAAACTGGAACCTGCCAGGCCTTTTTTAACCCTGGACTTTTTAGCTAATCTGATGAATGTGTCTGCTCCTCCCCTTTTTCCGTTAGAACAGCTGTATAGAAATGACATATTTAGAGTGAGGGGTGTTCTCTTGCCCCCATTTAGTCAGTCTTAAATAATTTGTAAGCATAAACTTGTAGTGGCAGCAGATGATGGATAGAAAAAAGAATTTGCGCAACACCCTCCTGAACCCGCCGGCTCAGGGTTCACATTCCCTTAGCCCTTACTTGACCCGCTGCTCCTGCTTGACTCCGCCCAGCAATTCTGAGGAGTAGATTGGTAGGTGGACGAAACTACAGATCCCAGGATACAATTGCTCCCCCCCCCCGCCCCCTCCCCCCTACAACCTTCTTGTAGCCCGGTCACTCCCCTCGTTGCATTCTAGGAAATGTGTTTTCTTTCTAATCAGTAACCAAGCCGTCTAGGAAACCTGGGCTATTAGGTTGGAGGGATCCGCCCCTCCAATGGCTCCGCCCCCTCCATTGACAACCCAACCCCCACCCCTGCTCCAGGTTGCTTAGGAGATGAGAGACGCCGGATCTTTGTTGGTGTCTGCGTGTAGGGCAAGATAGGTGCAGAGGGAAATCCCTCAAGTCTACCTGGAGTGCCGCCATGGAGAGCTCGGACAGGCGCAGCCACAGCCACTGCGGGCTGGAGCTCAGACCCATTGACTTGCTGGAGCGGAAGGGCTCCCTGACCCTCCGCTCTCGGCACAAGAAATACTCGAAGCCCGTGTTGGTGTGTTCCTGGTGAGCGAGCTCTCTGCGGTTCCCGGGTGCTGGGAGAGGGAGAAGAAGGGAAAAGATGAGGGAGGAGAGGAAAAGAGAGCAACAGAGAGAGGGCAGGGGAGGAGAGGATAAACAGAAGAAAATGAGAACAAGAGAAGAGCAAAGAAAGAGAACGGCGAGAAAGAAAGAGACGAGAGAGGTAACTGGGAAAGGAGGAAAGAAAGAAAAGAAAGGGGAACAGATCTTCAAAGGAGAGATGGAGAGGAAGCAGTGAGAGTTGGGGCACAAGGAAGAGGAGATAGGAGAGTCCCCCGAGAGCCGCTCCCCAGCACCCACGGAGGCGGCAGCCGGCCCCCTACCTGCCGTGTTCATAGATCCCCACGCAGAGGAAGGAGTGAAGGGTGTTCGCAGAGGCCTGAGAGTCATGTTTCTGAGACCAGCACATACACATAAATGTCAGGGTCCACTAGGAGGCCAGGGACGCAGCAGGAAGGAGATGTTCAGAGAATGGCCCCCAGGACTGCCATTTCTTGGGGGCAGTGAGGCACTCTGAATGACTTGAAAGAGTAGTCTAAAAATCCATTAGACTACTAGGATTCTTCTAGCCAGAGACTGAAAACTGGCACTTCCCACTGGATATGGTCAACATAGTTTTTTGGGCTGCATTTGTATTTGCATTTTTTCCTTTAAATTAATTGCCTGCATTTAAAACCATGAGATGTCACATAAAAGTACAGGATTGTATCTTCACTTGAAATGCTGAAACGCCTGGCAACAGAGGATTTTATTTCTCCTGGCAACTCTGACTCACTGGAGCTGAGAGCTGGTTACCTTTAAGATGAGAGCTCGCTCTCTCGCACAGGTTCTTGCCTGGCCCCAGCAGGCATTTGATTTACTTCCTCTGCCTTAGGTCTTGGGCTTGGAGTTCACTTAGACTCTCTTGTTGTTAAATATCAGAGTAACCAATAGCAAAACCATGACATATAACTGGGAGAAAGGTGGGGAGTTTGGGGGCATTTAGAATTCGATCCTTTGGGTCAATTTTTCTTGGCTGTATTGTTGACAATAATTACTTAAGAGTATTTGGAATATTTTAGGGAAGAGGGCAGAAAGAGAAATGAAAAGAAATCTCAAAGTTCATGTTCTTTATACTTTTGCCTTTGAAAGAAGATGAATGATTTTCACTTTAGCCCTAAGCCTAAGCCCTCCTTTATCCCATTCATTGATGTATGTGAGCCCTGCAGTTTCCAGTTTGCAAACTCTGTACAGCCTACTTACTCACTTACCCACAAACCCACTCCCCTACTTTTACTTCTTATCCTGAAAACTGAGACTCTGCCTATTTGAACTCACTGTGAGATGTTATATTGATTTGGAATCCGAAGTTACATTGGGAGGTAGAAAACCCTCTTTTAAAATTCATACAGAACTTACCTCACAAACCTCAAGCAAAACACTTAGCTCTTCATGATTTTTGTTACTCCATAAGGATTTACGTCAAAATATAAATCACTACTAGAAGTTAATGTTAAAGAGAAAGATCTTTTTCAAGTGGACAGTGCTTCTCTCTCTTCTGCACTACCATTGCTTTGAAAAGTTGCCTTTTGGACAGCATAGACATCATTAGCAAAACCACAGAAGAACATAAATGAAAAGGAAATGAGGAACGTGTTGGAAGAGAATGGTGTAACACTGAAAGTCATTCTGGCCACTGCTGGAAATGTAGAGTTCTTTTTTCTCCACCAAAACTATTAGTTCTTATTTATTTATTTTTTATTTTGCTATAATTAATGTACAATTACATGAGCAATATTGTGGTTACTAAACTCACCCTATTATCAAGTTCCCACCACGTATGCCATTACAGTCACTGTTCATCAGTGTAGTAAGATGCTATAGAATCACTACTTGTCTTGTCTGTGTTATAAATGTAGAGTTCTTATGCTACGTGTTTTCCAAAGAAAGTTTGGGAGCAGGAAGAATTAAATTCTATCGACAAACATTTATGTGCCATGCACTTTGCTACATATTGAAGACCCAGAGATGGATAAAGTGGATTGAATGAGATCATTTGTGTAAAGCATTTAACACCATGCCTGGCACATAGTAAAGAATTCAATAATATATGGTAGCTAGTACCATTTTTTTAAATTAAAGTATCATTGATATACAATCTTATGGTTTCACAAAAACAACACTGTGGTTTCAACATTCATTCATATGATCAAGCCCTCACCCTCTCTATTACAGTCACTGTGTATCAGTGTAGTAAGATGCTATAGAGTCATTACTTGTCTTCTCTGTGCTGTACTGTGGTAGCTAGTACTATTTATTTAGAATAACATAATGGTTAAAAGCTTAGGCTCTAGGTTTGAATACCAATTCTACAGCTTGTGAGATGGCAAGTGACATGACTGCTCTAGGCCTCTGTTTCTGCATGTGGAAATGGGAATGATAGGATTATCATAAAATTAAACATTGTATTATGTGTAAGTACCTTTTAACATATAGCCTGGAACATAGTAAGCCCAATAAAGGTTATATATATGTATTAGAACATGGTCATTGACCTCAAGGAATTCCATAGACCAGTAAGGAGTATGTAAAATAATTCAGCATAATCTGATTTGTGCAATATAAAGATGACTATAAAAGGAAAAGTAGCAGGATGGGAAGATGAGTGCAACAGACTGAGTAAGTGGCAGTATCATAGGGAAATAGGAGTAGTTTTCTATAGTTGGCAAATACAGTCAGTCCTCATTATTTGTGGATTCTGTATATTTACAAATTTACCTACTTGCTAGAGTTTCTTTGTAGCCTCAAATCAATCCTTGCCTTTCACGGTCGTTATGAATATGCACAGAGAGGCAAATTGGTTTTGGTCACCACTGCCTCCCCCACCTACCCCACATTCCTAGTTGAAGTCAGAGTGACACTCTGCCTTCTTGTTTCAGCTGTTGTGCTGTAACCAAGTGTTCTTCTCGAGGACTATTTAGGGCCATGTTTTTTGTGTTCTTGTGCTTTTTGTTGGTGATTTCATTGTGCTGGAGTGCTTTGTGTTCCTAAGCATAAGGGGACTGTGATGTGCCTTACAGACAAAAATATGTATGTTACATAAGCTTCATTCAGGCATAAGTTATAGTGTTGTTGGCTGTGAGTTCAATGTGAATGAATCAGCAGTGTATGTCAAGTAAGGTGTCTTTAAACATTAACACATAAAAGCAGGCTGTGTATTAAATGGTTGATAAAAAAGTGATCGGAGGCTCCAGGCAATCTTGTATTTCCCCAGGAGCAATGGTTCAGTATTTGCTACAGTTTCTGACCACTTTATAGAACATAACCTCAAATAATGATAATCAGTTGTAAAATGTGAGAAACAGTTGGATTTCTCTGAGCTGCATGTGCTGCTGGCACCCTTGTTTTTCTTCTATATCCAACCAGTCACCAAGATCTGTCCTAAAGTTCAAATTGTACAAACTTCCAGATGAATAATGTCACTGACCCTTTGTTTGAATACATTCTGGTCACAATTATTTGCTTTCTAGTGACTTATTTTATTGTATATTAAAATTTTTATGGAATTGTAATATTTATTCATTTTTTGAGTACCTACTTTCTATACTATACCATTTGGGTAGCCTTCCAGCTGGGTGTTTGATCAATTAAGTGACTATACCTGAATATTTGCAAAATAGAATCTGCAACTGGGAAAAATTCTGACTTAATTCTGCTTGTATAGCTTGAACATTTGAAGGATTCCTGTGTTTCTCTTTATGTGGCATATAATACAAGTCTTTTTGACTTCACTACACACATTGGTTACAGTTGTGTATCAGAGATATGATAAAGTGTTATACCCAGGATGGTTAGTAAAGGTATCTCTGATCCTTTACTAGAATAAGACATTGCCTAGGAGGCATCTCTTCCTTGCATCTGGAGTGGTGGATAAAGCCATATTACTGGCATTATATTTTGATGCTTCTGAGTGAGAGAGGCCTTTCTAGAAACTGTCTTTCTCTATTCATTCCTGTATCCTTTATGGAGCTATATCATCAGATGGTTCCACCAGAAATTCTAGTTGAAGGGAAATTTTATCTTAGGATATCTTCCCACTTATTGGAATAATGGTATACTAAAAACCAGAACAACCAGATTTGCCTTTCATAAATTCTCTGGTGTGAGACTAGTTCTTACATTTTCATATGTTTACAGCAGACTTCAGAGATATTATGAGTTCAGTTGCAGACCACCTCAATAAAGCAAATATCACAATAAAATGGCTCAAATAACTTTTCTAATTTCCCAGTGCATATAGAAGTTATTTTTATATTATGCTATACTCTATTCAGTGTGTAATAGCATTATGTTTAAAAAATGTACATACCTTAACTTAAAAATTTTTAAATTGCTAAAAAATGCAAACCATCTCCTGGGCTTCCACTGAGTTGTAATCTTTTTGCTGGTAAAAGGTCTTGCCTCAATGTTCATGGCTGCTGACTGGTCAAGGTGGTGGTTGCTGAAGGTTGAGGTGGCTGTGGCATTTTCTTAAAATAAGACAACAGTGAAGTTTGGCACATTGATGGACTCTTCCTTTCATTAGTGATTTCTCTGTAGCATGTGATGTTGTTAGATAACATTTTACCCACAGTAGAAACTTCTTTCAAAATTGGAGTCAGTCCTCTCAAATCCTGCCCCTGCTTTATCAACTAAGTTAATGAAACATTCTAAAGCCTCTGTTGTTATTTTAATCATTTTCACATCAACTTCACCAGGAGTGGATTCCACCTCAAGGAGCCACTTTCTCTCTCATCTATAAGAAGCAACTCCTCATCCATTAAAGTTTTGTAATGAGATGGCAGCAATTCAGTCACATTTTCAGGCTCCACTTCTAATTCTAGTGTTCTTGCTCTTTCCACCCCATCTGCAGTTACTGTCTCCACTGAAGTCTTGAACCCCTCAATCCATGAGGGTTGGAATCAATTTCTTCCAAACTCCTGTTCATGTTAACATTTCGATGTCTT